TGGCTGTGTCATTGTACCCTAATCAGGTGACTTGATGACTTGGCTGTGTCATTGTACCCTAATCAGGTGACTTGATGTCTTGCCTGTGTCATTGTACCCTAATCAGGTGACTTGATGACTTGGCTGTGTCATTGTACCCTAACCAGGTGACTTGATGACTTGGCTGTGTCACTGTACCCTAATCAGGTGACTTGATGACTTGGCTGTGTCATTGTACCCTAATCAGGTGACTTGATGACTTGGCTGTGTCATTGTACCCTAATCAGGTGACTTGATGACTTGGCTGTGTCATTGTACCCTAATCAGGTGACTTGATGACTTGGCTGTGTCACTGTACCCTAATCAGGTGACTTGATGACTTGCCTGTGTCATTGTACCCTAATCAGGTGACTTGATGTCTTGCCTGTGTCATTGTACCCTAATCAGGTGACTTGATGACTTGGCTGTGTCATTGTACCCTAATCAGGTGACTTGATGACTTGCCTGTGTCACTGTACCCTAACCAGGTGACTTGATGACTTGGCTGTGTCACTGTACCCTAATCAGGTGACTTGATGACTTGGCTGTGTCATTGTACCCTAATGGTGTTCACAATATCAATCAAAGGTTTGTCTGGTGTTGATTCAAATATTCACAGGGCCACCATCATATGGCTGGAATACTGCACAGTGCGGCATTAAAACACAAATTGTATGGACTGAGAGATATATGTCCTGAGTCCTGATCATTTCAATGGAAGATGAATCTGTGCTCTTCTTGTTTCATCTGACGAAGCTGACGCATCAACATTTCTTTCACAAAAACCACAAGATGAAAGTTAAGCACATTTGTAGATGTTTCGATATTTATTGACCCAGTAGCAGCTAGTTTTAAATATCACTAACAAAATTATCCCCCTTGTTGACGTGTTTTATGAAAATACTCTAGTCAGTGTTGAAACATGATAGGAGAGCATTTAGAGAACGGAGGAACACAAAGTCCAACTCTTTAATCTTTTCCTCCATGATAAATCAAAGGCAGAGATAACGGTATGTTGCCATCCCCCACCCACAGGACAAAGATTTCAAACTCTTGGAAAGTTCACTTTCTGGTTATATAATCTTACACAAGCGTGTGTGTGTCCTGGAGACAGCTGGAGCAGGCCATCCATCTGTGTCCACCAAGATCTGCAGCCTCCGTATGGCATCCCAGCTGGTCGGCTAATGCAGTAAGTGGTAGCAGCTCCTTTGATGAGGATTATTGGGCCTTAGTGTGAATTCAGGAGTGTTTAAATGTCTTTTATCGGGACTATTTTTGTAACGTATGTGATAAATGTATTAACTAACTGCATAATTTGAGATTCTATGTATCTTTGATCGCACACAATTTTCAGAAAGATGTATGTGATAAATATATTAACTTACTTCATATCAGGTCAGATGTTGTTTTGAGGTTATTGATATAGTTTTTCAAGAGCCTCTTTGTTCCCTTTCTATGAAATGTGATTCTAATTTCCGGGAGTGATACAGTTCAGCCTGTGTGACTCTTAGCACTAATCTGATGCTGGTAAAGTATCTTTCAGTCTTGTAAACCGATCTTTCAACAACTTGGATGTTCATAGTAATATCAGTCGAAAAAGAAAAGGAACTTCGGACTTGTGGAATCGAATGGTTTTGACCAGACTGATAGTTTGAAAGTGAATATTGACGTAAATCTGTGATAAAGTTTGTCTTGTTTATATGTTAAATCAATCAGGAAAAAAATTGTCTTTTTTTTTAATCCTTCGAGGGCTGTACAGCACTGAATGCTAAGTGCCTGGATGTACAGTAATGCTTTCACTCCTGATTGACAACGGTACAATAATCTATCGAAACGTCACACTCATGAAATAAAAGAAGTTGTTATCCATAAAGTTTGTTCAATATTGACATAAAGGACTCTGCAATTGACTTGTTAAAATCTTTTGTGTTTTGTATTGAAGGATTTGTACCTTATGTCTGTCATATGTACTTTATGTTTATAGCAAAATAGTTCTGTTATGTAGGATATCAGGAGAGTGGAACATATCCCATCACCATATCTTGTTGATTCACAAATGCTTGTCCCCATAGGGATTGCAGACAGAGCAGGGACTCCCGTGATAATGCTTGTCACACAAGCCGACTAGAATGGGGATGGAATGGCAACAATGTCTGACCTCCCTCTTAGATGGCAATCATTCCCCTGTACTGAACCAAACATACTGTTGTCAGTGTAGAGCAATACTGACTGCTGAGTTGACAGGTGGTGTGTTTTGGATTTGCCCATGAAAAGCTGAACAAAAGCTTCTTTTTCTTACAAGAAGCATAAGCTGATGGAAGTCAACAGTGGCTGAAGGAAATGTTTTGATTCTTTTTTCGAAGAATTTAATGGCATTTGTTAGAAAAATTATGGAATCTTTATGTCTGGCAATGAGATTTTCAACATAGAATATCAGCCCAGCTGGTTGTCTGGTACTTTCGGAGACATCAGCCTATTGGAGTGACCCGGGATTGTGAGTCTACTCTAGTCACTACTTGTGTACAATTATGAGTTATACTCAGCTAAAGCCTGCATGTCTTGACCAGACCTAGCTCTGGAAGTAGGTCAGAGCTGTTGAGAAACTGGTCAAGAGTTATAGTGGTCCAGAATGTAGCCCCTTAAGTCCAAATACAGGAAATATCAGATTTTCACTTCCACCAGACTTACTCTGAGATCCCACACCTTTGTGAACAACTGCGAAGGCTTCAGACCCATCATGGTTTCTTGTTTGCTTCTACTCAGTACAACTACCCATAATGCTTTATACTCTTTGAATGTGCTTACTCTCTTCTGAACACTGTCCAGACGGTGGGGTAGCCCAGTGGTTAAAGCGTTTGCTCGTCATGCCGAAGACCCGGGTTCGAATCACGACATGGGTACAATTTGTGAAGCCCATTTCTGGTGTCCCCCGCCGTGATGTTGCTGGAATATTGCTAAAAGCGGCGTAAAACCAAATTCAGTCAGTCAGTTCTACTCAGTACAACTACCCATAATGCTTTATACTCTTTGAATGGGCTTACTCTCTTCGGAACACTGTCCGGGCAATGGGGTAGCCCAGTGGTTAAAGCGTTTGCTCGTCACGTAGACTAACAACTAGTCTCTGAAATGAACATATTTTACTGAAAAAAGTTCATAGTAAAAAATATAAAATATAATGAAAAGGAGCCCTGAGACTTTCTTCATTTTCAGAAGCTGAGGAAATCTAGACTTGCCACATTTTCTAGACTTGTGTGGGCTTTCTTGGATATATTTGCTTCAGGGTCTGTACAAGAGACTACTCGTCACGCTGAAGACCCGGATTTGATTCCCCACATGGGTACAATGTGTGAAGCCCATTTCTGGTGTCCACCGCTGTGATATTGCTGGAATATTGCTAAAAGTGGTGTAAAACCCAACTCACTCACTCACTCTTAACACTGTCACTTTATGGCTAAAATATTGCTGATGTGGCATAAAACTCTCACTTTTCTGAACACGTGGTTTTCATCACTCATTTTCAGTGATACATTTTTGTAATTTTCACTGTTATATTGGTTTTTACATGCAATGGAATTGGTTTCATCAGATAATCCTGGCTGGGAATTCTGTGATGCTGACATTATATGTTAACTGATATAATGAAACAGCTGAATAATTCATATGATTCCTACTGAAATGCTTTTTCACAGTGAATACCTCATGAATTGTGATAACTTCTGCTGCAAATTCCACTCCTCCAGGGATCCAAATGAATATCCTTCAGATTGCCCAAGATCTAAAAAACTCCAACTTGATATCCTTCTGTATTCTGCTACACATACCCCCCCAGGGCTAAAAAAAAATCCAAGAAGATATCCTTCTGTATTCTGCTACACATACCTCCCCAGGGCTAAAATAAATCCAAGAAGATATCCTTCTATATTCTGCTACACATACCACCCCAGGGCTTAAAATAATCCAAGAAGATATCCTTCTGTATTCTGCTACACATACCACCCCAGAGCGAAAGGAATCCAACGTGATATCCTTCTGTATTCTGCTACACATACCACCCCAGGGCTTAAAATAATCCAAGAAGATATCCTTCTGTATTCTGCTACACATACCACCCCAGAGTGAAAGGAATCCAAGAAGATATCCTGTTTTCTGCTACACATACCGCCATTGAGTGAAAGGAATCCAAGTTAATGACCTTCATGTATCTGCAATTCTGGCTTAATCTGCTTAGATAAACTTGTCCATCAAGATGTTCATGAGGGTGTCCATCAAGGTGTTCATGAGGGTGTCCATCAAGGTGTTCATGAGGGTGTCCATCAAGATGTTCATGAGGGTGTCCATCAAGATGTTCATGAGGGTGTCCATCAAGATGTTCATGAGGGTGTCCATCAAGATGTTCATGAGGGTGTCCATCAAGGTGTTCATGAGGGTGTCCATCAAGGTGTTCATGAGGGTGTCCATCATGGTGTCCATCAAGGTGTCCATGAATCATGGAACCCACCCTCCCAACAGACACCTCCTACCGAGCCACAGGCAGCTTGCATTTACCATCTGATCTCCACCAGCCAGCAATAACAAGGTGTGAAGATAACGCCCATGAAGTATCTCTGAGAAATGTATGGTTTTGACAAAGATGAAATATCATAAATCAGGCAAGGAGTGTTTGTGGTTCCTGTTGTCAGTATCAGTGGCCTGATGTCAGAGCATCTGTCTGGAGGTCGGGACGAGGGCTGAGATGAGTCGGCAGCAACAGGAGGAGGAACATGGTGGTTGTCAGTGGCAGAAACTCAACCTGAAGCCAGTGTATGAAATAAGGCCCGCCTGACTGCCCGTAGTTTTGATAGTTACAAAAGTTCAGTGGTCCAGGGACTGTGAGACAGACTAGACTGCCTCAGACAGGCTAGATTTCTGACAGAGGGTCACAATTTACAGCAAGCCAGCCCGATGGTCTGGTGAAAATTGTATATGTCCCATACATATCTGAGTAAATTCACCATATCTTGGTGTCTGGTCTGGTTAAATTCCATTTGGGCTGGTAACATTTTGAAGTTACAAGCCCTGATGTCTGCCTGGGTTTCTGGCTTATTTCATAAACTGCTGAAGCACAATAGAATGGGCAAAGTATTGTAGACTTCTCTGATGTATCTGTAAGAGGGATACCCAACTTATGGAAATAAACAGTTCCTGTCAAAAGCCTTGTATATCTTCTTTACTTCATAATGTACAGAACATTTCAACAGGTGTAAAAAGGCATGTGTAGTCAATTGTACTTTGACAAGGTCTTAAAACTTTATGTAATACCTCGCTACCTCTATTGAATAAGAATATTTCACTTTCTCAAAAAATGTATTGTCTGGTAAAACGTTCATCTAGCTCCATAGATAAGTAGTATTAGAAATACATGTACACTGGTGCCATTCGTATAAGGTAAGGTGCATATGGATGTTATTTCAGGTCTTGAAAATATGAGCAATTTGTTGGCTCATTGTGTATATGAACCATGACAGTAAGGCAACCAAATGAGCTGAGTTGGTCTTTACGTCACATCAGTATTATTCCAGCCATATAGTGACGAGCGAGAGTGAGTGAGTGAGCTGAGTTGGGCTGAGTTGGTCTTTACGTCACATCAGTATTATTCCAGCCATATAGTGAAGAGCGAGAGTGAGCTGAGTTGGGCTGAGTTGGTCTTTACGTCACATCAGTATTATTCCAGCCATATAGTGAAGAGCGAGAGTGAGTGAGTGAGCTGAGTTGGGCTGAGTTGGTCTTTACGTCACATCAGCATTATTCCAGCCATATAGTGAAGAGCGAGAGTGAGTGAGTGAGCTGAGTTGGGCTGAGTTGGTCTTTACGTCACATCAGTATTATTCCAGCCATATAGTGAAGAGCTTAGAGTGAGTGAGTGAGCTGAGTTGGGCTGAGTTGGTCTTTACGCCACATCAGTATTATTCCAGCCATATAGTGAAGAGCCGAGAGTGAGTGAGTGAGCTGAGTTGGGCTGAGTTGGTCTTTCACGCCACATCAGCATTATTCCAGCCATATAGTGATGAGCGAGAGTGAGTGAGTGAGCTGAGTTGGGCTGAGTTGGTCTTTACGTCACATCAGTATTATTCCAGCCATATAGTGACGAGCGAGAGTGAGTGAGTGAGCTGAGTTGGGCTGAGTTGGTCTTTACGTCACATCAGTATTATTCCAGCCATATAGTGAAGAGCGAGAGTGAGTGAGTGAGCTGAGTTGGGCTGAGTTGGTCTTTACGTCACATCAGTATTATTCCAGCCATATAGTGAAGAGAAGAGTGAGTGAGTGAGCTGAGTTGGGCTGAGTTGGTCTTTTACGCCACATCAGCATTATTCCAGCCATAGTGACGTGGCCGAGAGTGAGTGAGTGAGCTGAGTTGGGCTGAGTTGGTCTTTTACGTCACATCAGTATTATTCCAGCCATATAGTGAAGAGCTCAGAGTGAGTGAGTGAGCTGAGTTTGGCTGAGTTGGTCTTACGTCACATCAGTATTATTCCAGCCATATAGTGATGAGAGAGTGAGTGAGTGAGCTGAGTTGGGCTGAGTTGGTCTTTACGTCACATCAGTATTATTCCAGCCATATAGTGATGAGCGAGAGTGAGTGAGTGAGCTGAGTTGGGCTGAGTTGGTCTTTACGTCACATCAGTATTATTCCAGCCATATAGTGATGAGCGAGAGTGAGTGAGTGAGCTGAGTTGGGCTGAGTTGGTCTTTACGTCACATCAGTATTATTCCAGCCATATAGTGACGGCAAAATGATTCATGTGAACGAGTTGGATGACTCATACTTTGAGATACAAAATCAATGATAAAAAAAATAAATCTTTTGTCTTTAGTCCAGATCTACTGCAAGGGAACAGATTAATATACGTAAGTGTGTATTTGTCAAATAGAATGAAATCTTGTTATTCCAGACCCTGTAAATGTGGACAGTGTGATATATTGCTGTGATCATTTATTTTGTCACATGACAGTTGCTGGAATATTCTTGGAAGCTCACTCACTCACTAATCTATGCTCAGAATTCATTTAACTGGACTCTGGTTAATCAAGGAATTTGACCGCGAAGTCTACTGTCTAGATGAACAGGTTTTCAATGCAGGTAATTTGTTGTTGTGTTTGGGGAGACCGATTTAGGTTTTGAACCTGATTAAATCATTCCACTTAACCTGATAAGCAGATTACAATATCATCCTGTCTACATCAACTTCAGATTTGTCTGGAACCTGATGGAAATCTTGCCGAAAAGGTCTGACCATAATTCATGGACTTCTTTTCACTCAACCCAGTCATGATCACCTATTGTGTTTTGTAATGCCGTATCAGCAATGATGGTGACACATTGTGTTCTGTTGGCTTCAGCACCACCAATTGTGTTATGTGTTCACCTTAGGGCAATGTCCCGAAACGGTAATTGTGTGAGCAGAGTTTTCATCTCCAACATGATCTTCATAAAACAAGATTGGAATCAGTTAAAAGGAAAACTGAGAACTAAAATACTCCTGACAAAACTCTAATGGTCTTTTAAGCCGTGTTACATGTATTGTGTTCGTAGGCATTGTGAAACATGTTACTGTCAGCGATTCAGTTTGTTTTAATGCCGCTACTTCAGCCGAGTTTTACGGTGGAGGTGATGAGCTCTGTTGTCAGTGTTAGTTAGTGATGTTGGCCCTGTACATTAACAATAAATGAGAACAAATCACGACACTGTACGAATCAATAATGAACCTCATTGGACAGGCATACCTGTTCAGGTGACACAGGTGAAAAACTGAACTCATTCAACAAAAAATATGTGAACAAACTCAAGTCTGCGTTTTTACCATGAATCAATGTCTGTTCAACTCAAGGCAATTACACCTGTCTGTCAAACATGTCTCAGTTTGAAAGTCTTTCAGAAATCCCTAGAAATTGAATTTTCTTGTTTAATGCATTTGTTCCTCCAAGGAGCAGTTTGTGTTGGAATTTGAGGGACAAGCTGGTCATTCATTCCCAATCCTGAAAATGGACACCTGATGTTTCAGATTTTAGTAATTAAATATAAGTTTGTTGGATTATGATAATTCACAATAATTCACAAAGACTTATCACACTCAGGGTTTCTTTATTGCAAAAGCAAATTGTTCAGATTCCCCATAATGATTTGTCTTTAACTTTTGTCCTCTTCAGTCATATTATTAAGAAATACTGATTGACTGGTGTGACTGACGGATACTGGTAGTCTGTCTTACAGTCAATGAACCACATTGTTTTACCTTCTGCCCAGCCCTTTCTGCAATGTGAAAGCCCTAACTGAAGCAAGTCTAGATTTCATTTGGTTCAGGCTCTTAATCCCCCTTCTGATGGGGGGCTCCATTTCAATTTGAAAGGAATTATATGTATTCTAGGATACTGGCACCAACTGCTAATACCATTAATTGTCACTGTAAGTTTCCTTAAGCTAATTTATTCTCTGATAAATGTTAAGTTGCTTACCTGGCCATAATATTGCTGACTCGGTGGTAAAGTTGCTGACTATACTCTTACCACTTTCAGTAGTGTACATACATACAGCCATCTGACATAATGTCCCGAGCATCTGAGGCACTATGGTCATGTGATCCAGTGGAGATGTTGTGTGTAAACACGGTAGTAATTAGTGGTAATTGCTGAAGCATGAGGAAGGTAACTGTCTACGTCAACACTAAAGGTGAAGGCTCCTATTCTTCCTCACACTGCCTGTGAGTGACCTGCTGGCAAGTTAACAAGGTGAATCCCAAACCAAACAAGAAATGTTTTTCTCCAGCTAGCATCTGTTTCTCCATGATTAGATTGGTCCTCGAGAGGGCCATAGATTTAGATTTGACCTGGGTGGAACCTGGTCAGGATATGGAGAAGCCATTACAAGCTACCGGAACACACTAACATTGTTCTGCTACCCTGGACAGTGATCACACAACACTGGTGCAGGATGACCGCAGCGCTAGTCATGTTCAGACTGTAGAATGTTCAAAACACATCATTACAAATTGGGGAGGTGGGGTAGCCTTGTTGTTAAAGCACCCGCTCGTCATGCTGAAGATTGAGTGAGTTTAGTTTTATGCTGCACTCAGCACTATTCCAGCCATATGGCGGCAGTCTGTAAATAATCGAGTCTGAACCAGACAATCCAGTGATCAACAGCATGAGCATCGATCTGCACAATTGGGAACCGATGACATGTGTCTACCAAGTCCGATCCTGTTAGTCGCCTCTTACGACGAGCATAGTTGCCTTTTGTGGCAAGCATGGGTTGCTGAAGACCTATTCTACCCCGGATCTTCACGGGTCTCATGCTGAGACCCGGAGTCTGGACATGGGTACAATGTGTGAAGCCCATTTCTGGTGTCCCGTGCCATGATATTACTGGAAGATTGCTAACAGCAGCGTAAAAACAAACTCACTCACTCACTCATGTCAATCGTCCTGAGTCTTCCTCAAAAGAAATGGAGATATATAGAGGATACGTCAGGGTTTTCTTGTCAGTATGTATTTCTCATTAAATGACCAGACTAGATTTATATTGTCATGAGAATGCAGCCATGAGTGAAAATATCAAGTGTCTCAGGTCACAACTATGTGGTATTTTCACATTATCTGCATTATCTTGCTCTCAATACCGCTTTGTCAAAGACTCGGCATGGAAGCAGTTCCGTTATTTCACACTTATTACATAATGTATGATTTGTCTATATCTCTATTTTTCATGTTTGTAGCAGTTTTTAAGGAATTAGTATTTCTGGCAGATAATGTTATCAAGCCTACATCCTATGGATTCACTCACAGGTTTATTGCTTGGAGAAGGTCCGTGTTTAACGTGATCTTAGCATCACAATTACCATAATCCCATTACATTTGCTGACAATAGCCCTCGTTCCCTGATTGCTTCAAGACAGATCAGATCCTGATCTGCATGCACTTCTTCACAAAGCAGTTTTGTGGGAAGCACTGTATCTGTTGTGTGACACTATTGATAGTTGAGACATTAAGAAATCTTTGTGACATGGGTCCTGCATCTACAGAAACAATTTGATCATCCTGTAAGGCCTTGAACTCATTCT